CTCGCCTGTGATCTCATGGGGTCCTTGCGGCAGGTGCATGAGGAAACTAAAGACACGCGCAAGGCACTTGTCCAAGGGCACCAGCTGGAAGGGACAGAGCTGGAGTTCGGGCTCAATCTTCCTGAGCTCTAGCCCTCTGGTCTCTCTGTCTCTGCAGGGACTATGACTTCTTCCTCTCCGGACACTGGGGACAGGGCTTCTGGCCCGGGGTCAGGGCGGAGGGGTACGTACTGCTGGCGTAGTCGGGGGGTGCATACATGTCGTTGAGGTGGAGGCTGCCCGGCTTGGCCACCTTCAGGTAGACCATGTCGGAGGTGTTCTTGAGGGAGGCCACAGCTTCCTCGTGCCTCACGTCCTGCAGATTGGTGTTATTCACCTGGAAGAGGCCTTAGAGCTAGCACCCGGGAGAGGACAGGGCCTCTCACACGGGTCCGGGTACAGTGCCGTTAGGGCACAGGAGCCTGGGGCGGGGGCAGGACACGTAAGGGACCGCCGGCCACGGAAAGGACCAGGGCCTTGGGATCTGGTCCAGCCCACTGCCGTGATGCTCTTGAAGTTCCCGTGACGTGGGGCGGAGTGAGAGGCTGCTGGCGCCCCGCCTGCACCCCCCACCATGTGGGCTTCCCCGCCAAGGCTGTCTCACCGCCAGCAGCCGGTCCCCGATCTGTAGGCGGCCGTCCTTCTGAGCAGCGCCCCCCTCAATGATCTTGGTGATGTAGATGCTGTTGTCTCCTGGGATGTGCTGGTTGCCAATGCCACCGGCGATGCTGAACCCCAAGCCTGGGCGGGGACCAGCGGGGAGCGGGAGAGGGCCACGGGAGAAGTTAGGGCGCTCGGCCAACCCCAAACCCGACCTCCCACTCCCAGGCCACCCACCGGCCCCAAGGGAGCTCTCCCCAGGGATCCCAAACACTAGGCTGCCATCCCAAGGTCACTAAGCGTGAGACACGAGGTCAAGAACGGGGAGTCGGGCAAGGAGTGAGGCACCCCTTTAGGTTTCCCACAGTGCCAACCGGGAGCCTCTGCCCGGGGCGCGGGCACCGGGGGCCGCACCTTTGGGCCCTTTGAGCAGGTTGACTTCCATGATGGTCTCCGGTGGGGGCTGTCGCCTCCGGACCACCAGCCGCACCACGGGGCCCGCCTCCTTCAGCGCCTCCACGGCCCGGCTGTGCACCACCTCCGAGACGTCCACCTCATTCACCCGCAGCACACAGTCATTCACCCTGTGGGTGGGGGCAGCGGGACACTGCGCCACCGCCCCTCCGCCCCCTCGCCCACCTCCTCCGCTCTGCTCCCCGCCCCTCTCCTCTTCCTCACCCCGCCCCCCGCTCCTTTCTCCCTCTCTCTCTCAGATTGAATGGAACCATCCTCCTGCCTGGTGTTACCCCATCTCCATCCTGCCCGTGCTGCGCCCAGCCCTGCTCCTAGGCCACCTCACCCCAGCCTCCCGTCCATGGCAGCTGCTCCACCAGGGATGATCTTGGTAATGAAGATGCCGGGGTCATCAGGGACGTGGGGGTTGTCAATGCCACCTGCGATACTGAAGCCCAGGCCGGAATTGCCCTGAAGAAAGGAGCGGAGGGGCCCAGTCCGCTCACTCAGAGGGCAGAGGGAGGCTTCCTGGTGCCCCACGTCCCCCCACCCCAAAGAGCGGGTGCCCCAGGCCTCCGAAGGGGCCAAGGCAGGCCGGGGCTCATTCGTCAGCAAGCTGGCGGCCTCCCAGCCTGCGCTGACCGTGCTGGCGTAGAGGCCTCACCAACGCCATCCCCTCCCCAATTCCCCGGGCCTCAGCGAGCAAGGTCAATTAATATTTGTTAGTCGGTTCATTGATTGATGCAGCGGCGCGGCCTGTGAGGGCCGCTGTCTCCCCAGCCTCTCAGCGCCGGTCCCCCTGAGTCTGAAGACCGGGGCTCGGGGCCCTCTCCTCTTCTGGCTCCAACCCTCCCCCCGCCCCGTCGCATCCCACCCCCACCAGCAGACTCACCCGCTCAAGTACTATCTCCTCATACTTGAACATGCCATCGCTGCCATTCACCTGGGCGGAAGACACAGGCAGTTCCCTCAGTGTCCTGCCCTTCCAGCCATGTGTCCCCTGGTCGGCCTGCTCCTCCCCCACACCTCACAGAGCAGGACAGCCCAAAGGGACCCAGATGGGGACAGGCTGACCCTGAGGAGGCCACCCCGCCCCTTGCTTCCCTTCAGGTCAATTGCCTGGGATGGAGAGGCTGCGCTCTGCGGCCTTGGGGTTCACTTCGAGGGTGCGGGGCTGGCCTGAGGGGAGTGGCGGAGAGGGAACAGGGCGTGTAACCCACGCCACACCCAGCCTCTGTGGCGGCACCCAGGATCTGGACAGGGACCCGCTCCCCTCTGACCCACAGCTCTGTCTGACTTGGGGATCACAGACTCCCACCATGTCTGAGCTAGAAACACAGCAGTCGCCATCTTGTTCGACCCCCCTCATGACAGACGATGATACCGATGCCCAGAGACGACACAGGTCGTGTCTAGGGCACACTGGGAGTTAGGGGCAGAGCAGGGCCTAAAACCTGGATCTCCACTAATGTTTTGGCTACTCATCCCCTTCTCCAGAAGAGCTCAAGGGACAAAGGCGAGTTGCCCCCTTAAGAGTACCTCATGAACCCTCATTCTACACCTCCTTCGCTGTCCCCAGAGGCCCAAATCCTCACATAGGCAGGACGCGAAGTCCTCATCTGTTTTCTCCCAAGAGGCGTTGGGTCCTGTGCTCTTGGTGTTCCCCAGCAGAAAGGGCTGCGTGGGGTCTGGCTGGGTCACAGACCAAGGGGAGGGGGAGGGCAGGAGCAGAGTAGAGACGGTTCTCCCTGACGGACAAGCTGAAGGCCATGGGCTGATTGGCAGCAGAGTCCATGGCCTTCAACATGCGGTAGCCATGGGAGGAGACACGAGGTAGGGGAACAGGAATCCAGGGTTGGTCTGAGCAGCGCGCAGAGGTGGCCTCCCAGACAGAGCCCACTGTGACCACCGTCAAGCGCAAACGGGATTCTGGACAGACAAGTAGCACCTGCTCCCTGGCTCCCAGTCTCATCATCCCCAAGAACGGAGGAGCCCTCTTGCGTCTCACCCCAGGTGACCCCACAGCTGTCCCCCATCTCGCTCTGGCTGTGTCGCCCCTCCCCTGACCCCTGGTCTCCTCCTCTGAAGGGGGGAGCCGGAAACTCAGGCTGGGGGCTTCTCCACACACTTTACTCTGTTTTCTCCTCCCGCCTCCACCCCCCACCCCACGGCTTTGGCTTCAAGAAGCAGCGAGGAGGGGGTGGGAGAGGGCTGGGTGGTCGTGCCTCTGCCTCTCCTGGGCATGGCCCTGGGACTCTATGCCCCGCAGCCCTAGGAGTTGGTGGGAGGACTCCGGCTGCTGCCGCACTGTGGTCCCTGATCTCCAGAAGAAGAACCGATGGCCCTTCAGAGTCCCCAAACCAACACAGCCGCCTGAAGTACCATGTGACAGAAACACAGGCAAAAGGACACCCATGCAGCTCCTTACATGCATCTGGGGTACCGTGTGCACTCGCATGTGATAAGCCATGCTCCCCCTGCCCGCCTCAGGGAACCCGCTCCCGGGGCCTGGAGCCATCCAGGGATCAGCCCTGGCCGAGAAATCTTGGCCAGCTGGCCCAGCCTTGGAACTGTCACCCATCTCCCAGTTGAGCAGGGCAAGCATGAGAGACCGTCTGCAAGGGTAGGACCCAGAGATAGAGAGGAAAATGACAGAAGGGGGACATGCTGGAGAGGGCAAGGGGCCAAGGCAAGGGACACGGGAAGCAGTAAGTGTGGACAGACAGAAGGCCAGAGTGAGAGCACATCCTATGCCCACAGGAGGACAGAGGCGGCCAGAATGGTCACCAGCTTGGGGCAGTCAGCACCTGCCCTGGACAGCAAAACCTCCTCCTCTCTGCCTACTCTGGGGGCTGCAGAGCCGAGGAACCAGACAGGCCCTCCGCCATGCGCGCCAGGGACCTGGCTCTGCCGGCCCAGCCTCCATTTTGCTGCTTCTCCCACAGATGCTTCTTCCATTTTCTAAGCTGGCAGTTTAGGCTGGGAGTGGAAGCCAGAGTTGTGCCCAGCACCCAGGGGTTCCCAAGCTGTGCCGAGTCAGGCCTGGGGGGCCAAGTCCTTCCACATCTGGGGGGACCTCGGGGGAACATGCCCTACCGGGGCCAGTCCGCACACCAG